GAGGGTATGTAAATGCAGACAAATGAGAAACAAACAGCTATGGTCAGCCGTGGCATCATTTCCTTGACTGTGGAGTCAAACAGGGTCAAGCTGAGTCAAACTGAAATGCACGCGTTAGGCGTGTGAGTGATCTCAGCAGCTCTGGGGAGAATATTCATGGCCTTAAAGCTCAGCAAAGCTGGAACCTACAGCTGAACAACAGCTCTAACCGACCCCATCTTCTTAGCCCTAGGAAACTTGCTTTCACTTATATTCTCAAGGGCACAGCAAGTATATAATGTTGAATAAACAAACACAAATTACTGAAAATAACATGTACTGGAAGTGAAAATTCCATGTGGTCTTACCCAACAGTGGAAATAACATCCAGCGAGGACTGTTTATCTCAGTTTAAACTCATGAACCTGAAATGTATCCTAGGAAACAACTGACAACATAGGGCAGGAAACAAAAGAAGAGGGAAACAGGAAAATGTTATAATTTCATCATTCTCTGTGGGAGACAAGATAGCGTGCCAACATTTCAAACAAAATTCAACATACGTTTAAGAAACCTTTTCCCCTGTAGTCAAATGCCAAAGTTCATGAGCAAAAAGAAGAATGTACAATTTTATGATTAGGTCAGCTTCACCTGAGTTTGTCAGAGCAAAGAAAGCAAATCCAAGCTGAATACCCTAAGTGACCAAAAGACCCACGGAGGGCTTTTCAGTCAAATGACTGGAAAAAAAATTCAGAAAAACAAGTGTTTTTGTTAATAAAGTGATGATTTTGAAAGTCCCATATCCTTCTTCCCACTCTACAAATAAAAGAATTGCCACTCAGAATGCTTCTATTCTTACTAAACTTGTAAGCTAAGAGCTTTCCACGACAGAGGTTGTTAGACAAGTAAATTAATACTTAAAAGAACAGAAAAATAAGTACTAACAGGTTTCCTACCAAGAGAAAAAACATGTCTGTGATTCAGTTCAGCTCACCAACAGGCAGACCAGTACACACCACTGTTGTTACACCCAGTTTTCCATATCTTGCAGTAAAATAGTTTATTCTCCAAGATAATTATTTTTGACACTTTCACTGTTTATACAGGAAACTGAGAAACTGTTAATTGAAATAAAAAAAAAACCTGAGTCAGTGTTTCCAGCAATTTTTGCCAATGTTTTGATCTGTGTCAATCTGAGCTTAATTATTATGTTTTCTTTAAAGAAGGAAGCAAAACTTTGTCTTTGAATTTGGTCCTGTACAAACGCTGTTCTCTTTAGACAAAGCATACCTAAACAGGGTTGAAAGTTTGCTTAATGAACTGCGGACTAGAAACCAGTGGTAAAAATAATGAGAGGGGAAAAATACATCTTTTTTGAGGAGGATGTGAAAAGACTTTAAAGCCTTTCAGCAGATACGATTAGCTATGATACACAGCCTATCGCTAATGATGCTGCCAAAGTCAGCGTCTATCAGCTATGAGAGGGAAGTCATCTGGAAAGCTAACCGAGTGTCATAGGCAAAGGGCAGGCTCTGCATTCTGTGGCAAGCTAAGCTTTCTTCTGGTATCTGCTGTATAAATATGTGTCGTGAGGAACTCATCTGCTCTTGTAAACATGCTCTGTTATTCAGCAGAAATTCTACCATCATTTTACCACTCATGGACAAACTGGCCTTGGCAGAAACACACGAAGTCACCAGCAGACTCTAGGATAGTACAGATACAAGGAAAGATTTCACCACACATTTTCCAAGCCAGCAATTGGTTTCTAGGTTGTACATGCAAAGAAAAGAGAAACTTCATATCCAAAACCAAAAGGTTAAACACTATCATTCTGAATGTGCATGAACTAACCGAGAACTATCTGTCTTGAGAAGTTATCTGCATGGCAATTATAAATGGCCCTTAACAGAGCACCCAGTTAACATACACAGTGACCTTCTAGCTAGGATAAGCTGAAAATGCATTGCTATGTAAAATTGGGTTAATGTATGGCAAAATACGTTTAGAGATCTACAATGATTTGTATAGAAAACACAGCACGTGCATTAATTAATTCTATACAAGTGTCATTATTAAACTTGGGAGGAGAAAAAGCCTTCCTACACTACAACAGATTACTTTCTTTTCATTTTCTGCTTTTTTCTACTTTTTTCTCTTTCTCCTTTTTCCTCTTCCAAATCAGGATAGATCCATGAGCTGAGAGAAACTGTTCACAAAACAAGAGGCAGGCAGCCTTACTCCCAAACAGTTTTCGTGCTCTTGGTGGTGGCAGCACTCTTCCAGTGAGAAAGAAACTTGTCTTCAGGCCCTTATAAATCAAGCAGAGCAGAAATCTGAACTTGTCCCTATCTCTTAACTTATTTCCAAAAGTTCCCATATTTTCAGCTTTGCTAGAGACTTTCAAACTTTTTTTGATCTACAGGCCCCTCAGTATTTTCTCTATCTCCTCCAACAGAGGAGGACCCAACAAAAAATAACTAGTTTAGCAGATCAGATTTTCTAAATCAACATATAATAAAAAGGAGAGCTTCCAACTGTCTCTCACAACCACTGCTGGTTTCCTAAACTTCTTCAGTGCCAACACGTGTGTTAGCATAGTGGGCTTGCCTTTGCTGCTCCCTGTGAGTGTAGCAGAGAGCACTGCTCTGCTGTCTGATGAGGTCAAAGTGCTGCAGAGGGATGTCTTGAGCCATCATCTGATGGAAGAGAGAAATTGAGAAATTGCAAATCAGGTGCCTTTCTCTCCTCTTTCTCTTTTCCTGCGGGATCCCCGTACTGTAAGACAGCACAAAGATGCATGAATTGCGACGGAGGATTGTTAAGAAAGTAGAGATGCTGGTGGTCATCATCATAGAATCATAGAATGACCTGAGGTGAAAAAGACCATAAGGGTTATCTGGTTTCAACCCCCCTGCCATGGGCAGAATCGCCAACCACTACACCAGGCTGCCCAGAGCCACAGTGGTCTTAGTTGTGACAGTGTTCTTACCAGAAAAGGAGACCCCCTGTTTCTCCATGCTTTCATCCTCTGCTTCTGCTTGCTCTTGCATCATCTTTGGAGTCTGCATGATAACCCTTGGTGAGCTGGTTCAGATCGTTAAGTAAGAGGAAAACTGAGGCATGGCAGAAACACATCCAACCTTTTCTCTTAGCTTCTTCTGTGAAGTGGTTGCCCAGCTGCCCTAGGACCTTGCTTCTCCACTTGTCCTTATGAAGTGTTTCCCAATATAAAGCCAAATCTCTCTTGAGGGAAACTGAGCCTATCACTCTTGGTCCTACTTGTGATGGATATGGAGAAGGCAGTCATCACAGTCATTGCTGTATCAGCATCTTAAGTCTTTAAAAGTCAATCTCATTTTCCTTTTCTCTCAAGATTCAATAATGTGTTTCTACTCGTCTTTGGGCTGCTTTCCCATTCATGCATTCTCTTGTCATTTGTGCTGTTCTTTCTCTGGGTGTGTTCCAAATTATTTGCCCCTGTCAAAATGGGGTGTCCTTGATGAGAGGTAGAATGCAAGCCAAAATTTCATGTGTGTCAAACAGAGTAGAACAGTAACTTCCCAGCTCTTACACACAACATTCCTGTTAATACTGTCCCAGAGCATCATATACTTTCTCTATTAAAGGAGCATCATATTGGAGAATTGTGCTTATTTAGTGTTCACTCTGAGAACAAAAAGCCCCAAACTGAGGAAATAAGTATATAAAATAACTCTTACCTGAAAACTGTTTGCCTTAACAAAGGATTATTTCACCAGGTCACTAATACTAAATTCTTCTCAGTACAGCAAAAATACAAGCAGGAACAACCAGCTTAAAGCTGTTTTAAGTGTTTAAATTAATTAAAGGACTAGCAAGGACATTTCTTGTTGCCCAAAGGAATTTTGTAGGCTGTTGCACATCAGATGAAAACCAGAACTTGTATCTACTTTGCAAAATGGACAAATCCACTGTGAATGGCTAACACCTAATTGTGAGGATGAAGAAGTTTTCTACCATAGCTGTCTTCCATGGGCATCTCATTTTTGCTTGATGACAAACAGTTGCCCACTCATAGAAAAAAAAACCCCAAAACCTAATTACCATTATGATGGTGGTACAATGCATAGATTTTGGAGTGACAGACAGTTACAGGGACCATATATGAAAGAAAGTGTATGCACTGGAGGCACTTTACTGGTTAAATTAGTGAGGGAATCGTTTGTACATCAACTATCAGGGTCGTAGAGCTGAAGAATATATTTGAGAAGCAGAACAGAAGAAAATATTGTACCAATAAGTGAGAGAAACAGGAACATCGAGTAAATATTTTCTCTCTGTTTTCTCTGAGAGAAAATATACTAACTAACTGAGACAGATGGGTTGTTTCGGTAGTGTGACAGCCAGGTATGAATAGCAACTCCTGGGGGTGCACTGGGGGTCTTGAGGGAGTATGTACAGTCAGCTGTTACTTGGCAGCGACAGACAAAAATGGCTGTCTGTCTCTGAAAGAAATAGATAAAAAGCATTTTCATCCATGCTGTACACGTGTGCATTTAGAGATCAGAGTGCATCTAAAGAATTTCATGTGTATTTGTGGGATCTCATACTACATACAGCATGCTACCATATCTTATACTCAGCACAGTTTCTGACAAACATAAACATTGAAAGAAATAGAACCACTTCCTTTGGACAAGGGGAGACATCATGCTATGCATCCAGCAGATTGTGACTTCACAGGGGAAACAAAAAATTACTAGTTCAGTGTTTTTCTTTTTTTTTTTTTCCTCTAGTTTTTAAATCTGTGCATCTTTCTCTGCTATCCTGCTCACCTTCTCCCATCAACTACCAATGACTTTGCAATAGTTTTCTCCTGTCAAACCATACCCTTTGCCCACATGCCAGCTCTTGAGCTTTGCGAGCAGTGCTGCAACCATTCTGTGACACACTCTTTTTTTTCTCTGCAGCACACAGCTGTATTACCACTTGCTCTTCTGGAAATCCTTGCCACACCGCATCGCTACCCAGCAAAGAAGAAGGGACTGTTCCTGTTAGGCTGTGCCTCTTTTCTTTATGTCAGTTGGTAAGAACCACGTACTTCAGAACACATACTTCAAGTGATTTGCTTTGTACAGCAAGGCCACACTCTACATATATGCTAAGTTCCCTCTCAGACAACAATCTGGTCTGTAGATAAGCCATTTAAACACCAGGTGAGGCTCATGAAGATCATTTCCAGATGCAGGCAGAGTGGGTTTCTTCTAAGTACAGCTGCTGAGGCCACACCTGGTATCCCCTGCTCTTTCATAGCCTCTTAAAAGAAGACCCTACATTATCAGAAACATCAACTCTCAAAGTCCAGTAGCCAGGGGAGCAGGAAAGGAGCAGAAGTCAGTTTTATATCTCACAAAGGCATGACGCTGGATTTAGAAAGTTTGAAAGTGATATTCAGAGGCAGGTGGGAAGTAATGGGTACTGAGGAGGCATCTGTCCCACTACCACCTCCATCTGCACTGGTGGACACTGCCTACATTGCCAGCAATGTGCCCAATTTTATCACCACCCTGTCTGAGAGGGTCCTGTCCACAGCCCTCCACCCACTTCCTCTACGTGCTGCACACCCCTGGAGCTGTGTTTGCACCCGTTCCTGCTCATAGCATCCAGGTTATGGGCAGCTGCTAACATTTCAGATCACTCTGAGACTCAGCTCTGGAGTACATCTGCATAGTTTCAGGGTACGCTCACCCAGAGTTTTCTGAGAAGCAGCTGGAACCACGCAGGGATCCAGCCTTCCCACTTCCATCCACCCATCAGATGAGAGTAACCTCAGCCCACTGTTTGAAATACAGGAACAGAAAAGAAGCGGCCCAGATGAAACACTCCCGTGATGTGAGACCCGTAGGAGCGGCTTTGGAAGCAGCAGACTTTAGCTCTATGTTATGCAACCCAGTTTGGAGCCATTTATCCTAATCCGGCCCACAGCCTAATACTATTATAGCTGTGAGAGACGCGTTTCCCTGCCAAGTCCTTTCCAGTCAGTCCCACCCGATGCCCATGAGGAAGCCTGAAGCACACAGGACTACCACCTCCTCTGGCTCCCCAGCAAGCACTCTGTCTCAGCCTTGTAGGGCACAGGTGGATGCAGAAGCAAACTGCTGTGTGCCATGCCCATAGGACAACCTCTCCTGCCCCCTATTTCCAACCAGGGAATGATAACAGTGGGGTCAAGCTTTCACAGATCCTGTTCAGTTAGAAATTGATCCAACTGCTTGTTTCAGTCCTTCTCGTATCTTCTCTGAATTGGCCTTGCATGCCTCTGGGCTCCTTGTTGTGCTTGACTCCTGTGGCCCAGGGCCCTGGTACCTGGATCTGGGCTTCTTGGGAGTACAGCGCTGTTGCTTTCCCTCCTTCTGAGACAATGAGGAATCTCCCATCTGCCTTCCTTGTTCCTGAAGCCAGAGACAAAAGCTTCCAACTAACAGAAGAGGTTTTCAGTCTGTGTACTTAACATGTGCACATATTTTACTGTTGGAGCTGCAACCTGCTGATTAAATAACCCCATTTGGGTGCCTTATGTTTCACAAGCAACACAGAGTGCTCCCTTAAAGCCTCTTTTTGAGTTGTCACTGTTGTCATCACACTGTCCATCTCTAGTATCGATGGGCTGAGTGCTGCCAGGTCCCTCCAAGGCAGTGAGAAATCAAGCAGTTTGTGACTTTTTGCACCAGATTCTTGCCTCTGATAGCTTTGAACACCCATAGGATTAAAAAGAAAAGGCAGCTTCCAGTATAGGTCATCACGGCAAAGAAAACTGCTCGGTATGTTAATTCTTGCACGGATGGATCTTGCATCTCCTGCCTTATTCTTGGAGTCATCACACTGAAAGCTGTGAAGAATATATACATTTCGGAACTGTCATTCTAAATCTTGGAAAGGAGGTAACAATAGCAAGCTCTTTCCCATTTCAGTGGCAATATCAATTTAGCAATAAAGATCAGGATAAAATAAATCTTACTCCTCACAACTGTGCATGTGTTTTTGGAGAAAAGATCAAACTACCAATGTAAGGGAATATAAATCATTACAGATTGCACACCATCTATAAAGACCTAAACTACTAAAAAAAAAAAAAAAAAAAATCTAGAAACTGATGGCTTTCTTAAAATATGCCCATATTTCATCTCTGTTAGGAATCAAAATGTTTTTCTTTTACTGTATGCTCATTGTCAGTTCATAACCTTTTAATTTTGCATTAACCACCACCTCAGAAAACTCATATGTGGCCAATATGTTCTCCTTTCTGGATCTTCCCATTCAACGATTTCCTAGGGAACCATTTTTATTTTTCCTCCAGTGAATGCAGAGCTCCCATTGACTTTAATGGTCAGATAACAAAAGCATCAAACTGCCTTCTCAGGCTGCTGCGCATCACTTTCCTCCAGTATCTAAATGTTGTCCTCAGTCTCACAGCAGTGTGGCAGCTTGGGTTATACCCAGTTATATTGGGTTTTCTCAGTCTATGTCCTCCATAATTCTGGGCATCATACAGTTCTAAACTCTCACTGTAAAAGCTTGCTAAACATTGAAATTTGGTGTAACCAAATGTTCAGAATAATCGACTTCTGAACACTGCATGTATGTTTAACAGCTGATTGCCCACAAGAAAGAGGCAACGTGCATTTGCAAGTTGTTGGGTTGCATTTTATGAAATCCCTAGCAAAATAAAATAAAATGAAATAAAAATCTGTCAACCATTCTGTAGTCAAAATGAATAAACTCATGACCCTAAATGTATGTCCCAAGATAAAACCCTAGCTACACACGGCTTCCATCAGGTCAGGAAGCTGAAAGAGCTTTAGTGCTTCTGAACAGTCGAGTCATTTTTTAAGTTCAAAATTTCCAGTGGAAGTGCTTCCTATCAGGCACTCCAGCCAGCTAAATTAGATCAAGATAATCTAGTTCCTCAATATATAAAGGCACTTTTTCACTCTGTTTTACTGTTTGAGATGTATTAAGAAAACAGCAGCCCCAGTACAGTGAAGAATGCATATGGATATCTGTACTGCACAGGCTTCAGTTAGCACCTGGTCTTTGACATTCCTACTCATCTTTCCCTGGCCTTTGCACAGGCCTTTTTCTCTTTATGGCTGTACTGCAGCCCAGGTTGTTGGATGAGAGAACCTCTCTTGAATCTGGAAAACCATAGAATCATAGAATCGTTTGAGTTGGAAAGGATCCTTAAAGATCATCTAGTCCAACTCTCCTTCATTCAACAGGGGCATCGGGTTGCTCAGAGCCCTGTCCAGCCTGACCTTGAATGCCTCCAGGAATGGGACATCCACCACCTCTCTGGGCAAATGAATCTGCACACTTCACATCTTCATGCAAAGACAGCTCTGTCACTAACCCTGACATCTCTCCAATCTACCTCTTCCTTTTCTTCTTGTAGAAACAAGAAGCCATCCTTTCAGCCACGTTTTATTCCTCAGCACTCTTTAAAGGCTTAGTTCTGTGACATGCTGGTAGCACAACCGGTTTCCACTTCTCTCCCTGAGGCATGATGCAAGGCAGGGCACCTTTAGAGAGTGCCATGGTGTTCCCATGTCAGCACTGGTAGTGGGAAGTACTCAACAGGTGTATTCTCCAGTCAATAATTAAATCTTTTTAGGATTCTTTCATCCCAGGTGACCATTTTAGGTAAGTTCAGCCCTATCCTATAAAGGCACAGCCTCACAGAAATCACTGGAGATCTGCCATATATTTTATATTCTTTACATATTCCATTCAAATATATATCTAGACACCATTTTTATGTTCTTAAATCTAGGCACTTGCTTCCATCCACTCTTATAAACTATGAGTAATGGAAGAAATAGTATTAGTGAACTGGCAGCAGCCACAGATCTCATCTTAAGAGAAGAAAAAGGCAGAAAGAGAGGGCCTACTTCAGACAGTCATTCTCTTCTTTTTCATTCTTTCCTTCTTCCAAACCAGTACCTAGCAATTGGTCCTGGAACAAGAGAGCAAAGTGAGTACATCTCTTTCCTACCCACTTGTTTCTCCTCTCCTAATTTTGGACCTAAGAGAATAGTCCATGCCCTGTCATCTCCTGAAATCTCTTCTTACTTTCTAAAGCATTCAACACCAGCAGGATAGAAAGAATGAGAAACAGCACCTCTGTTACCATAGACCCTTGGATTCTAGATAGGGACTGAAAAATCAGTAAATAAAGAGCAAAAAACCTATTAGGAGCTTATTTGAACAAGCCTCACTTCTATACTGAAGTGCACACCTGTATTTCTGAGCATTTTACTATTTTACTGCTGTTTTACTGTTTTAATAGCCAATGCCACCAAGGTGACAGCAGAACACCGTGTGTATTTCAAGCTGCACCAAAATCCATCTAATTTAGCAATGATTCAAGTGTGCTACACAGCAAATAGCCCAAATATTGAGGAGATGCATCAACAGCTGAGCTAATCTTCTCCGTATCAATACTGTTTTGATAACATGGCCCTTTAGAAGCCAGAAATCAACAAATGATTCTTCTGACTGAATAGCCCTAACCAAATGTTGTTTTTCCTCTCACCCAGGGTCCTATGGATTTATTTTGTAACAGGAGAGTGGGTGTACCCTCTCTTTGCTTCATTCAGCCCAGCTGGGCTAGGAGCCTTTTTCATCAGTAGCCTTGCCATCGTCGTCTGTTTCTACAATTTTGGAGAGTTCCTAAACCGTATGATATGGGGTCAGTCCAATTTTTTTTATTTATTTCCATCCATATTAGAAAAAATAAAAGGAATTCCTATGATCACCAAGGCAGGTGGGGAGAAGGACAAACATACACTGGGGCAGGGAGTGACTTCTGGATAGAGATTGCCAGGTCCTAAGAATTTAGTAACAAACAGGACAGACGAGAAGGCTGCCAACTCTGCCAAACAAAAAGAAATATCTGGGCCAGTTTTCTCCAATGTGGCTTGAGAAGAGCCTCCCACCAGCATAATCACTGTATTTTGAATTCCTTCTCAAACGGTGGTTTGGAGAAGCAAAATAGCTCTGCCTAAAACCCTCTTACCTATGTCGTATGGTGTTTATCAGACTCAGGAATGGTTTACTAAGAATTTATAGGAAGGCATTAGTCTAGCCAAGCGAAAGCTTTGTGAATGCAGCAGCACTTTGGGAAGTTTTAATTGGCTGTTGAAAAATCTCCCTTTGGCTTCAGTAGAGGCATGACCAGTAATGCTTTAAAGAAAATGAAAGTCAACCTTACTTGGATAAATGAGCAGTTAGGAGAAACGATGTCTCTTAGAAGGACAACACTGGAGGAGCAAAGAGAACTGATGAAGCTTGAGAGTCTGGTGTGGGACTTTATTATTATTAATTATTTTCCCTTCTGGTTGCCTCTTTCCTTTTTCATTCAAGATTAAGTTTTTGAGGATGAAAGCGTTTCTGTCAAGAAAACGTGTGTATTTTATTTAGGACAAATGTGTGAACATTTGCAATTTCTTAAACTAGATTTCTGATGAAAGAAAAAGCCCTGCAGAAACACCTCTGAAAGTAAATAAGACAACCTCCCTCTGTTCTCAGGGAGCATTTGATGCCTGATCCATTTTGTGAAGTCTCACATGCCTGTCAAGCCAAAGTGGAGTGTCTGTAGCTAGTCTCTCACCAGCCGAACCCAGCTACCTCAGAGCAGCAGATTGAATTTCAAATGTGCTGAATAACCAAGTTCAGTGGTTCATACCTTTGCAAACAAGACACTTGCTCTACATACCAAGTTTGGAAATTTTGGATGAATTTTATTCTTGCATAAATATGATGCATGATGAGGATTCTGAGTAACTGAAAACAGATCTGCAGGCACTCTGCACTAGCTCTAGTTAAAGAGGCACTGCATAGATAGCAACCATTACTATGAGTAATTTCTGACCTCTCTGTTGAATCAAACACCACGACACAACCACCACAAGACAGCTTAGGTCTCGTGTTAGATATCAGGTTTTGTATTAGTTAAGAATCAGATTTTTTTTCACAATGAATAGGTAGTAACAATTTCAAGTCTAGAGTGTGTGCTAGTGTAATTGCAGATCATATATATGTTATATATATATATATATAATTCTCTGTTTATGTCTGATGTGCCCTCATACTCCATGAAGGCCCTCTCCATGTGCTGGATGTCTCTCCATTTATATTTTTCACTTTCCCCTTACTTCTTTAAATGCATCCTCAGCTGCTTGTCTCCAGGACTGATGGCATTACCTAGATTTACAGCACACTGATACTAAAAGCTGCAAGCTACACCCCAATAGCTGGTCCCTCTGTGGTATCTGAGCCTGCAGTATGATTACATGGGGGCTTTGGGAGGAATAACATCTCGATGAGCTCCTGCCCACCACCTCCAACTCCTTCCTACTCCACCACACATGCCTGTTTCTTGTGAGCAGGGGTTTGTTTTTAACGCAGATAATTTTGCCGATCCATTTCCCGGCTGTGTCCACCCAAGAGAAAGGCAGGACTTCCTTAAGCTGGTATTGATAACAAGATCCCAATAGTGTTGAAACACAGCCAGAGGGAAGGTATTCCAAATTACAGTGTGCCAGAGTCTTAATGTATTCCTGACTGAAACAAATCTGCTCAGCACTGCCAGAGTAAAAACAGCTGCAAATAGAATGAAGATGCAATTCCAACATACCTTTCTTCTTGCAGCAAAAATGCCTCCACGTACTTTTTTTTTTTCCATCCTCCCCTTTCCCATCTCACTTTCTCATCACAGTTAAGAGATGATACAGTTAAAATAAGTGGGTGGAAAGAAACACACACACACATGAAACAAGACCAAAAAAAACCCAAAACCCAAACCAACAAAGCAAAGCAATTTGCAGTGGGAAAGGACAAAACCTGCCTGGGCTGCTGCTGGCTGAGACTCTGCCTAGAGCAATGGAGATAAGCTGTGCTTATTTGAAGAGGCAAGAAGTGATTAGCAAATAGCTCAGTGAGAGCATCACACCTGGCTTCCTGGAGCACTCGCATCCTGGGGAGAATTGTAGGCAGCAAATGAAGCTTGTCCCACAGCACTGTGCTCCATAAGGATTCTGCCACGTTCCTCTGTAGCTTCAGGCCACCACCACTTCTGCCAAAACAAAAGAGCATCAGCTATGTAAATGTTTACTGTTTTTTCCACCCATAAAGGTATATTTAGCTCCAAATTATTCCAAAGTCCAAGGATAACGACTTTCAGCTTAGGGCATGTCATTTCAAAGCTATGTCCTGTGCTCCACCAGAGAGATGCAGCATCATTTCTGCGAGCTAAAAATGCAGGCTGTTTAATAACATAACCCTGTTTTTTTCCTTTTCAGAACAGCCCAAAGATGCCAGATCCTAAATTTGTTTTATTATTTATAGACAAACTGCCTCATATAGTATTAGAGGCTTTAAAAATGTATTATTTCTCACTTGCCTTTCCCTCCAGTCGCACAGTTGGATTCATGGTAACTAAGGCAACCCAGCTGCACAGGCCGAGAGGCACAGAAAATAGTACCAAGTAATGACTTTTTTTTTTGTTTGTTGTAAATCCCAGAGTTTCTGGAGTGCTAGACAACGTTGAGTAATACAGAAACTCCAAAGAGGATAATTGGAAACAATGGGCTGATTCTTTCATTGCCATACATTTACCTCAGCCCAAGAATTTGGCTGCAGGGTCAGGGTGCCAAAGATGAACTGTGTGATAGCTTCTCTCATTCCTGACGGGTAGGAAACATCGTGCAGGCAACTTTGATCTGCAAAACTAGAACCCTGAACAGCAAAAGCTAAGCAAGCTTCCCTCAGGTTTTGCTCCAGCTGAGACAAACAGATCCTCAGGATCAAAGTTCTCCATTGCAGACAAAGCAACATTTCAGATGAGGTCTCTGGCACCAGCATTTGAAGATGCAGAGGATTCATTTGCCTTTTGTCTAGCAGGTCTGATAAAACGTTCAGCAGCTGTTTCATTTTCATGTTGTGAAGTGCAGGTGAACAGGAGCAATAGGTGAGCAACTAGCAACAGCCTCAGGCGTAGATGAATGTGCGCTTGCAGAACCTGTAGGAGCTCCTGAATGCTTTGGAAAGCCTTAGCTGAAATATATTCACCCAAGGCTAAGCTAAAATTAGAGGGCAATCTTCTCGTTAACATATTTTCCCTCTTCTTTTTGAAGCACCTCTGTGCAAAATATATTTTACAGAACCATATAACTGGTTTTAGGAGCTGGGTTGTTTTCCCTGGCTTTTATTTTTGTTCTTACGTACTTGTGAAGCCAAGCTCCCTGAATACAGAGTGCTCAGCTATTGGGATACACAGCCTGCGTGGTGGCAGAGGAACCTGCACAATACAAAGTAATACCTCCATACAATTGAAGTCTTGACACCTCCTGAGCAGCTACTGAGTTGAGATTGCAGAAAGCCAAGTGGCAAACGAAGGGGTACAAAGCAAAGCTGTGTGGGTTGAGGAGTCATCCTACCATTGTGCTGGCTCACAAACAGCAGCTTTATTACGAACCCTAAAATGCTGATGCTCTGCAGGTAATTGTCAGCATAGAGACAGAACCGACCCTTCATTTTGACAGTCCTCTTGTTTCTGTAGGGTCCAGCAGGGATTTTTAAACAGAGCCTCTTTTCCAGAATATATCTTCATTTGTTCTATCAAGAGCATTTGTTCTATTGAGCCTTTAGGACTGGAGAGTAACAGTCCAAAGTATATCCATTTATTTCAGTGAACGAAAAACGTTTTTGTCTGCAGTCTCACAGTATTGCCAGTGACGAAGGGGACTCACCTGTAAGAGGGTTTAACAGGCCCGAGTTTGCAAGCCACGTACGAATACCCACTTTTGCCTCATTCATTCATCCTAGTTATGCCACAGGCTCGTGATGGCATATTTATATCTGTCATACTTGCCACTCCCCCGAGCTGCAGATTACCCCTTGGTACAGGAGTTCAGCTGTTTAAAGGGAACCCACACCATCTGTCACGAGCCCTGGTGGTGCTGACAGGTTTATCTGATGATCTGCAGGGGAGAGAGGGACACACAGGCGGAAGCTCAGGCGACCCGGGGCTTAGAATTTCATCACTGCAGGGCAAATACAAACAGGTGTTTGCTAATATGCTGTCTCTGGCCCCATAGGCTGATCTGATACTCCCTGCAGTCTTTGTACTGGTCAGCACTAAATGCTCACAGGACCGTTTAGGAAGGAAGAAATGCCAGGACTTTGTTACTTATCAGGTCAACCACCACATGCTACGCAGGCTGGAGATAAATACAACCCAGCAATTACAGTGTTTCAGGCCCTTTGAGGGCTGCAGACAAAATACAGCACCTTTAAAAAGGGCTCCCTGTAAGTGATCATCAGCACAGAGGAACAGGGGCTGCGACAGCGCTTCAGATGATAAAGGTACCCCAACATACTTGGTTATGGCCATGCTAGGTGCCCATGGCAGTACAGATGCTCTCAAAAAGCTGTGGTTCAGCAGTAAGTCCTGTGCCATCCTACAGATATCCCAGCTGCTTGGATTCATATCTGCTGCCTTTTCAGAGGTGCTTTATTTTGAAAGCTTCTCACATGTTGTTACAGCGAACAAGGCTGCTCAGTGGCAGATGCTTTTTTCCACTAGTGAAGCACCACTATTCCCAACCAAGGATGTGGTCCTTGGCAGATTGTAAGTCCCTCTTGCAGAAACTGAGTAATCCCTTACTTGCCAGGGACATCCCAAGCTCCTTTGACTCCTGAAGGCAGCTGGTCTAAGGCATTTTGCTCCTAATCCCCACCGAGCTCAGTTCCTGCTGGCAGGCTGGGGACAAGTTCACAGCCACCTCCCAGCAGCATGCCTGAATTTATCTGAGGACTTCTCACTCTGTTCTACCTTTTTTTTTTTTAAACATTCTTTTTTCCTCTGCCTTGGAACAGGAGATTCAATAGTAATACTGGACTACAAACGGAAAGGCAAGTGAACGCTCCTCTTCAAGCCAAACAATCTCTCCATGAATGCTGAAGCCATGAAGTAGAGGAAAATAAATGCAGCTGTGATAAATCCTTTCTCCAATGCGTTGCAGCTTCTGGTGAAGCCATTATGTCATCAGACATATGGAAAACTGGTGGAAAATGTGAAACGTTTGCCTCTTACATGATAACTCCGCAACTGCTATGAATCAGAAAATCGTGTTCATCTGTTTACACAGATTTCTCGTCTCTTGCACAACGTACATCGGGATGTGTCCACGGCTAAAACTTGTCACTGGTAAATGAACTCCCTCACAAGTTGGCACCACACCGTGAAGGACCTGCGCATGCAAGCCAGCTCTTGTTTGGATTGCCTTTCATCAAGTCTGGAAGAAATTAAGACGAGGGATAATTTTAACACTGCTGCGACTTCCAAGCTAGATAGATAACAAATTGGGCTAACAAGGACTGCAATTAGGAATGTTTGCTCAGAAAGTTCACCACAAAGCCAAATTCTTCTAATGAGAAACATTCGGGAATATTAACGTGCAAAATATCCCCCCTTCCACATTAATATGAAATCTGAACGCAACTTTTTTTCCTTTTTCTTGGTTTCAGTTAATCTTGTAGCAAAAGTAACCTAATTATACCGACTGTATGATTGCTTTGACAGAAAGCACGTTAATTTAAAGCACTGTTTAACATAAAGCTGCCTGCCATATAATTACACCCCATTCACATGTTTACTAAACTCGCTCAATATAGTTGATTTCTGTTATTAGCCCCAACATCTTGTTAACATCTATAACACTGGAGATGTGCTTTGGAAACTGCAATAAACAGACAAAACTGGCAGTGGTGTAAGCACTCCTTCATGGTCAACGTGAACGGAAGGGATCTCTGTTATTAGCGTTGCGTTTCAATGAGGATTTGAAACCAGCTGCAATGCTTCTGCCTTCACTGCCCAAACCCATAGCTCACAGTTACTGCACACACAGTTCACCAGGGTCTTATTCTCATCTTTTTCGTGCTGCTGTAGCTTAAGAAAAACAAAACATGTTGTAAGCTGCCTGTGAGCAATAAGAAATTATGTGTATGTACATTTGTTTTTCTCAGGTGTTAAGCACCTAAGTTCTAGACTGGGTAGTTTACATGTTAGAAAGAGGCTGCAAACGGACTATATGCAGTGAGATACATGTGCACATGTATACACAGTTTTCCTGTTGAAGGAGAGAGAGGAAAGGGTTCAGCTAAAAGATGCTGGTCAGAGGAACTATTTCTGAGAGGCAGACAGAAGAAAGCCATGCAGTGAGTTAGGGAAGAGGAGAGAGTTCAGGCTACTCCTTATATGGCTATTTCTTTTTTGTTTGTTTGTTTGTTTCTTGTTTATTTTTTTACTGATAACCTAATGCAAGCATTTTAAATGTTGGAAGCTCAATACAAAGCCTGGGCCCTGACAATGGGACTATTCTTTCCCCACCTACCAGCTAGAGGATCTGAAGGGCAGACTGGGCTCCTGCTGTGGCTTTTAAGGCTGAGGACCTTCCTGCTGGACTGCAAAAGCGTGAGGAGGATCGCTTGCATTCATTACTTGCTTTAGTGAGGACTCAAGGAAGGCTCTGCTCTGCCATGTTCCACATGCTGCCTGGAGGAGGGAGAGGCTGGGTCTGGGTTATGTGCTTTGAGAGGAAGATCAGCAATGCTTGTCTCAAGAACACGAACGGCAGGATCTCAGCTTTGCTTTGCTCCTTTTTCTCTAATGCACACACAAAGCTGCATATGGGAAAAACTGTACATTGTTGATCACAAACATTTTCCCTACAATTTCAGAAGGGCTCTGGGCAGCCTGGTCTGGTGGTTGGTGACCCTGCACACAGCAGGGGGGTTGTAACTAGATGATCATTGTGGTCCTTTCCAACCCAGGCCCTTCTATGATTCTATGATAGGCTTCTCTGAGGAACACTGGTCTTTGTGACATTTACACTAGATTTTTCTTTCAGCCTCTCTCTCACACGTTTTGTTTTGAGTAAGCATGCAAAGTCAGTCAGAACTGTTTATTTATAGCAGCAGATTTTCATGGCTGTATAAATTAGAAATTATTACTGAATGAGATGCCCGCCTACACACACAGTGCAGCCGTACAGGAATCCTTTCATGCTGCTCAACAGTACACAGTCTGGAACGGGAGGGAAATGACCTGCTCCCAGGTAAATGAAGGGGCTGCTGCATAAAGCCTTGGGCAAAAACACAGCAATTAATATTTCGCCAACACTATGTGCAATCTGACAACCACAATTACCTAATACTCCTTAGACCTGCCACTTTTGTTCGGCAGAGAGAAAATGAAGGTTTAAATTCACCAGAGGAAAAGCACATAAAAAAACAATCTACCACCACAACCTATCACTGGACTTTTTTTTTTTTTTTCTTTTTTACAAAATTGTTTGTGCTTTTCTGTTTTCTTTTGAGAGAGAGCACTGGTAAACATAAAAGGGATTGCTGTTTGTGGCAGAGCAGCACCACATGGACCTATCCCATACACTCACCCCAAGCTATTTCCAGCAGCAGCAGCAGCTGGGGACAGTCTCCACCATGTTGAGGAGCTTCCATCCCAACTCATGCCTTCGTCACCAGTTTACTTCTACAAAAAGCATAGACATGCTACTTTATTCCCTCTCCAATTTCCCACATGGATTTCTTTGTCTGGGTCCCTGCCAGGGTTTTAAGGTCAAGATTCAACCTCAACAACATAACTGAGTGCTGTTCATACAACCATGGCATTGTTTGAGTTGGAAAGGACATTTGAAGGTCACCTATACTCCAACTCCTCTGCATTGAAAAGGGACAGCTGCATCACGCTGCTCAGATCCCCATCCAGCCTGACCTTGAATGTCTCCAGGTATGGGGTTTCTACCACCTCTCTGGGCAACCTGTTCCAGTGCCTCACCACTGTTATTGTAAAAAAACATCCTACTTACATGCAATCTAAATCTCCCCTCTTTTAGTTTGAAACCATTTCCCCATGTCCTATCACAACAGACCCTGCTAATGACCCTGTCTCCTTCTTTCCTATAGACTCCCTTTAGATACTGAAAGGTGGTGGCTCTCAGATCTCCCAGGAGCCTTCTCTGCTCCAGATGGAGCAGCTCCAGCTCTCTCAGCCTATTCTCACAGGGGAGGTATTCCATCCCTTGCATCATTTTTGTGCCCCTCTGGACATGCTCCAACAGATCCTGTACTGAGGACTCCACACCTTGACACAGTACTTCAGGTGAGGTCTCACCAGCACACAGCAGAGGGGCAGGATCACCTCCCTTGACTTTTATCTCCCACTTTTAGGGGTTGTGATGATCCATGTGCAAGACCTTGCACTTGACTTTGTGGAACATCATGAGGTTCACCTGAGCCCACTGCTGAAGCCTGTCTAGGTCTCTCTGGATGGCATCCTGTCCCTCAGGCATGTTGACCACATCACACAGCTTGGTGTCATCTGCGAACTTACTGAGGGTGACTTAATCCCACTATCAGTGTCATTGATGAAGATGTTAAGAGCAGCAGTCCCACTACAGATCCCTGAGGGACACCACTCATCACTGATCTCCATCCAGACATTGAGCCATTGACCACCACTCTCTGGGTACGATCTCATAACCAGTTCCTCATCCACTGAGCAGTCCACCTATCAAAACTATATTTTTCCAATCTGGAGAGAAGAATGTTATGGAGAACCATGTCTAAGGCCTTACTGAAGTCCAGATAGATGACATCAGTGTCTGTTCCCCTGTTCACACAGCTACGTCATCATAAAAACCAACAAGAATGATCAGGCAGGAGATGCCTTTGGTAAAGCCAGCCTGGTTCTCCGGTATCACCTGTTTCCACTCACCTTAGCACAGCTTCCAGGAGGACCTGTTCCATGATTTCCCCAGCATGGAGGTGAGGCTGATAGGCCGGTAGTTCCCTGGGTCCTTCTTTCCATTCCACTTAAAGATGGGTACAGCTTTGCCTTTTCCTCATTCACCAGAGACCACCTGACTGCCAAGATGTTCCAAATGTAATTGTGAATGGCTTGGTCACTGCATCAGCCAATTCCCTCTGCACTCTAGGATGCATCTCTTGGGACCCATAGGATGTTCAGGTTTCTCGGGTGGTTGTGAACTCGACCTTCACTTGCAGTGGGAGGGAGATTGCTTCTCCAGTCCCCACTTTCTGTTTGAGGGATGTGCAAAGAATATTGCCAGTGAAGACTGAAGCATAAAAGCTGTGGAGTTCCACAGCCTTCCTGTCTGCCTGCCTGTTCAAAGCCTTCAGTGGAACTTGTTGAAGATCTACTCTTTGATAATTAAGGGGCTGGAATCTGGCATGCAGAAAATATGCATTTGTGTTCTACCAAAGCATCTAAAAAAGTTGTCCAGGGAGGTTAAAATTCAATTGGAGACCTTGCCTTCACTTGGCAGAGCACATAATTAAATACTTGGTGCCACAAAATTACCCATAGACCCTCTGCGGTATTGGGAAGAGGAGGCTTAGAGTCGTCCATGAGAGCCATACAAACACCCATTTCCCAGGCAAGGTATTCAATAACTACTGGAATAAAACCACCGTATTCATATATGAGTTCATAATCCTTTTTGTTCCTGTTTATCTTCGCTACTTAACCACTCATCCCATAGGAAGATGCTACTGGCTGCCTGGTTCTTGAGCTAAAGCCACGTCTCGCTCTTCACTAGCCGTCCCAGCAAAAGGAACTCGAGTTGAGCCCCTTGGTTTCGCGGTAGAACGTGACACTGTGATTTTTGGGAGGGATTTTCCAATTTCCAGAGGCCCGGGCGGGCAGAGGGCAGGGGCGGCCGGACCCGCGGTTACGAGGCGTTACAGCGCCACCTGGCGGCCGGCCGCCGGAGCAGCGCCGCCCCGGGAGAGGCTGCGTTTGGTTTCCTCACCCGCACCCAGCGCTTCCCACCGCGTTCACACCCCCCGCAAATGCATAGCTTAAAACGGATCACGGCTTTCTGAGGAACAGCCCCTCCTGGCTTTAAGCTGCCACCTCGCTAAAGCAGCCTCCTTGTTGCTAGCTGCCAAATAACAGCCATTGCTCCCGGAGTATCTTGCCAGCAATAATACAGAACGTGACTGCATTCCCACTCTTGTCTTTGCAAAAGTACTTATTTCCAGGGTTGACTGTGACTGGTGTGCAGCACAAATAAACCAGAAAGGAGCAGAACAACTTGGAACACATGCAGAAACATTGGGAGTGGAGGAAGCAGGAAGAAGACAGAGGCAGGGGATGCAAGAGGGAAAAACACGAGGAGAAAGAGTTCACACATTAAAAGCTTGCAGAGTTTTAAGGGGCTGTTCTGTGTTGCTGCCTCGATAGCTGAGAGCAGAACACGAGTATTTAGGTACCACATCCCTGTGCTTATGCATCTCAGAATTTTATGTTATTCTTGAGCACGAAGTTACACGCTTACACAATTAGTTCCACTTTTATACTGCTCTGATTTGAGAGAGAAAATACATTTCAAAGAGGGGAAATGTAAAGAAAGCTGAGGTGATTTTTGTCCTACCGCTTCTTTCTTTAACTCTTCCTATGGAAAAGCTTTGTTAAAAAGCATTTTCCTGTGTTAGTTCTCAAGAAACAAACTTGAATAACAGTTTGTAAGGTACCATAAAATGATGACCAGGGTTGGCTGGAAAATGTGAAGGCAAAATATCTGAAAACCATAGGTATCTGATTCTCTTTCTTAGCAACTGAATTTATTTATTTCCTGCCTGAAGCCCAGAAAGTGAAGGAGCAGCTTGCCTTTTGTGCTGTTAACAGCCCAAGTCACAGCTAAGGCACCTTGGTCATCCAGGAGAACTTTGTATTGTTGTTTCTGCATATTTCTAGATACAAAATAAAGGTGACAGTCTCTATGCCATCAGTCATTCACTCTCTGTAGTTTTACATTTCTCTCACTGATAAAGAACACCCTGAATGAAAGGAAAAATCCACAGACATACATACGGTTCATGGTGTGAAATTGTGACTTTCAAGTTTTCATTCACATCTTGTCATCAGACATCTCAGTCATTCAAAATCTGAGTTCTGGACTCCGATCAAATAGAGCTCTGAACTTTAACCTAAGTTCTGAATCATAAATGTAGCAAAACCAGAATGGGCCAAAAATATCACCTCAGCTATCTCAGATGGCAGCTATTATCTAGTTTTTATTTTCAAAGTACAACTTGAATATCTGGCAAACACTAAAGCTGATTTCTATGTAATGCTATCCAATTACACAATATTTACTAACCACAGCATATTTGTTGCTGGCAAAATGCTGCGTATGCTTGCTGTAATGGGCCTCTGTTTGGCCATCGCTGGGTATTTGATGAATGATCTGTGGCATTACAAGGTCACAGAAGAATAGAAGAGAAACACCGAAGAACAAAAAATAAGAAAAGGAAACAAAAGTCAGGCCCCAAGAGGCCAAAAAGACCAGACTGTGAGGGAGACAGTTATGCTCTCTTTAAATGTGAACATACCTTATAAGGGAGAAAAATACCAACATATTTAAAGCACTGTAGGCAAAGCCTGTGCCATTCAGCAGCCCTGTCCCTTTCAGAGCAATTTTTGTATATGCAACCCTAGACAATTCCTCTTGACACAGTACAGCCCAGGCAAGCATAAAGGTTGGACACATGCCTCACACCTTGCAGAGGGTGCACTGCGTGAATAGGAATTGTCTACGGCCCTATATGCAAAGGATGCTCTGAAATTAATGCCTCCTAATTATTTCCATTGAGACGACAACAGCTACAAAGAGCTCAATAACACTACTAAAGCAAATTCTCAACTACAAAACACTGCTTTTCAATACAGTCATCACCGTGAGCTATGCACTTTTGCCAACAATGAACAAGAGCCTGCATACTGCACACATAAAAATCTGTGCCAATGGAGGTGACCCACTGTCACCACTGCTGAAACACACCATGCACCATCTCACTGTGCTCACATCTACTGTTTGGTATCCCTAAGCATTCAGAAAGCATCAATGAATGCCTGTGGGCATTGGTGTATACCCTGCATAGAGGAATTCAGTGACACACCTTTGCTCCATACGCACTTCCATACCAGGTGCCATTCTGTCAGACTGCCCCTCTTCTGCCATCTGTCACACAGCAACATTACAGTATTGGAGGGAAGGTTCAACCTCTGCTGCCATACCAACCGACTTCTGCCTCTGACACTGCAGGCCTACGTAATGAAATAGAAGCCATTAATTCCAGAGCAGCCCTTGCCAAATGCATTATATAGTTAATGCATATAGGTAACAAAACTTATTTTAATCTTCCATATTTTTAATTAAAATAAGAAAATCATAAATCTGCTGGAATACGTGACCTTTTTTTGAGGAACTAACACATAAGTATAGTTTGACAGCAGCAGTTGCCATTCTTAGGGAGCTCTCAAGGTGTTTGTCAGAGATTTCTGATGAAATTTCGCTCTTCCTGTGCTTCATCCTTGAAAACAATTGCTCACAAGTGCTTGCACTGCCAATGAATGAAGGCACAAATAAGGCGCAGTTGTGAAGTGAGGGATATTTTCCAGTAAGAGAGCTTATAGAAGACTGGTAAAGAGACACAATCATATTTTTGTTTGAGTTGAACATTCGACTGCAACTCTGTACATTCCACTTGAAAATTTGCAAGTAATGTATTTATGTTGACTGAAAATGAAATCACAAATAAACTGAAATACTGATTGGCAGTCTTGAAACCTGTATCAAAACAGAAAGCAGAGCTACATATTTTTCTGCTCACAGGACAGCATTTAGCCAATGTGCCACAACACACGTAATTATGTGCCATCACTTGAGTCAGCACTGCACCATGACCCCTCCACGTCCAGGTTTCAGCCTATGCAGTGCCAATTGCACACCTGTGTGTGGTTGCTGTGAGCAATGGGTGTGAGCCTAGGGTCACTCAGTGGGGCAGAGCCATTGCCATGATGGCACAGGGCAACTGCAGGATGGACTGGGCCAGGCCACATGTGGGCCGCGGGATGGACATGCCTGCCTCAGGGGAACGTGTGTATGTTCATCACAAAAGTATGTTCCACGTGTGGGAGCAGCAACACCCTCGCTGGGAGCCCAGCATCCATCCACATGGGAAACAAGTATGTGTGTGCAGGTCTGGTCAGCTGAGGTGACACGGTACAACCTCCTTCCAGAGCTGGAGGAAAGGAAGTGATCTGCAGGAGAGTGCAGGAAATAGTTGCACAAGCACACTGTTGTCAGCAGCTGGGGAGGGGGAAATAAAGGAAAAACAGTCACAACAGGAATGAGACTGAAATGGTGAATACACTGACAGAAAAAATGCATTTCCTTTTAACAGCTGAGGTGGTGCCGTTTAGGAGTTTTGGGTTTGTTTTGTTAAGTTATTGAAGTCTGGAGTTTTCTAGTCATCAGAGAATTCACTGAGTACTCCCACATTTTTTGCCTGCGCATGTAAGTGCTGTCTCCTGTCCCCAGAGGAGAAAGAAATTTGAAACTAAGCGATAAGGCAGAATTTTCCCATACAGCTGCTATCAGGCAATCGAAGTACTCCACAGCATGTTAGAAATGAAAAATGTGCTCATGCTCTTTTCAGCTTGCACTTGCCTTCAGGTTCCTCCTCCTTGTCATCTCAGGGTCAGAGTGAGATAGGCAAACATCTCCCGCAGTGCACAGGGAGACTTGCACTGTTGCAGTGCTCCAGGAAATGCCAGATGTGCTCCTTTGCCCTAGGCTGGATCCTTTTGCACACCTGTCTTAACTGATGGGAAGGTTCAGTCAAGCAGAACACAGCAACAAAAAAAACAAAACAGAGGCTGAGAGAATGAAAATTAACTACTGTATTAGAAGTTTAGTAACAAGCTTGTGAAGTTGCGTACTGCCCCATACACTTTTAAGAGCAATAAGCAGTGCAAAATTTCCTCAGACGAGCTTGAGTTACTAGAACAAACTGAAAATATCTGAGAATCAGGCTTGTAATGCATTCCTATAGCAATGTTCACGCAGGAGGAATTTCCACTGGGCAGAGGGGAATTCACTGTCTGCTAACATGACCATGAGTGCATACAGCTTCCCACTCCCAAAGATTTAAAGAGCTGATTCAGGTTCAGTCACAAAATAACGTTCGGTGGTTACGGAGGGCTTCCTGCCTTTTAGCTTTGATGGCATTCGATCAGCTTTTGGTTCTCCACGGCGCAGGGAACAACCAGGGCTTTTTGGGCAGCACGGAGCAACAGATGGTGGGAAGAGCTTCCAGCACCCTACTGCTGAGGGCAGGCAGCCACCACAGCCAGCTCAAGGAGCCCACTTCCTGCCATTGTTATCACAGCAGCCCTGGAATTTCATCCAAATGGATCTGACCCCTCCGCTAAGCAGCCAGCACATATTTCCCTGATTAGGGTATTCCTGTGTGAGGAGGGGGGGCTGGGAGGAGAGCAGCTTGCTCTGCTTGTGCCAAAGTGACATGAGTGCACTGTTATGCACTGGACTCCTCGTTGGGCGCATTGTTTTCTGAGGAACAACAGCTTACCCAGCGACGTGGATCTGTGCAGCAGCAGGGTGTGTTTCTGCAGCAGTGACTGCAGCAGAGAGGAAATAACATGAAGGACACAGTTGTCCACTTGTTTTGCACGTACTTGTGATCGAAGTTCTACAGGTGCCACACAGGGCTGGCA